GAAGGTGAAGTAATTGATCTTACTTCTTGCTAAAAATATTTGTACTAATGGCTGCCTACCTATGTAAGGTACTGATACTCAACACTTTTAACAGGATGCATTTTGGATATATGCAGCTGTCACTGGTAACTAACTTGACTTCTCTATGGTGAAAGGGGGGCGCAGAAGGTAATTGGTGAGGCTCTACTCACCAAGGCGCCCCTGTGGGTTACAAGAAATAATGGCCATAAGCTAGCAGAGAGCAGATTTAGACTGGACATTAGGAAGAACTTCTTAACAGTTAGAGTGGCCAAAATCTGGAATGAGCTCCCAAGGGAGGTGGTGCTGTCCTCTACCCTGGGGGTCTTCTGGAGGAGGTTAGATAGGCATCTGGCTGGGGTCTTCTGAACCCAGCACTCTTTCCTGCCTAGGCAGGGGGTTGGACTTGATATATTGAGGTCCCTTCCGACCCTAACATCTGTGAATCTATGAAAACTTTAAATGGAAGAGTTTTGTTCATTTTGATTCAGCTATTATTGCTTATTTACACAAAACATTGGGGAATAACAAAACGAACAAAAATCTTTTGGGAGAAAATGAGAATAAGGAAGGAGTGAGTTTGGATGCTTTTTGTTATGTTACCTAAATTATACATACTAGGGTATCTCAGTCACTTGCTTGTAATGAATTCTTCTTTCTTTTGACAGAAAGGAGGAGTTACTCCGTGGGGTTTATGCCATGGGTTTCAACAGACCATCAAAGATCCAGGAGACTGCTCTTCCTATGATGGTAGCCCACCCGTAAGTACTTGTGATATAGTGTCTAAACAGCATGTTTTATCCATCGAGAACAAAACCATTCTGTAGCATTTTTCTCTCTAGCCTCTCTGCCTGTTGCCTTTTCCCATACCCTGGCAGATTCCAAATGTCCCTTCCAAAGTTGTCTGCATGTCATCCTTGGTTTGTGTCATCGGGCTCTTTGAGATTTTTCTACTGCTGTTCTGTGTCTTGTAATATCAAGTTTTAGGTCCTCATCTTCTCCTTCAGGCTGAGCCTAGGCAGGTCTGGCAGGGTCTCCTCAGCACCTGGGGAGGGCGGGAGCTCTGGTGTGCCCAGGCTTGTGACATGCACCCCACATGCATGCAGTACCCCCCCCCCAACACACACACGCACCCCAGGACTCCCAGGAGCCCTGATAGCAGGGCAGGACAGTGCAGAGGCTTGTGGCCAAGCTCCATTCCCTCCTTGCAGAGGCTGGACTTGGCTGGGGATGGCCCCTGTATGCAGGACCGACCTTAGGGAGGTGCAGGGCCCAGGACAAATCAGCCTGTGCGGGGGCCCTTTAACATTTTTATAGAGCAGGGTGGAGGTGGTGGCTCTGGCACTGAGAGTGCTGCCACTGGCACAGCCTGCACCATGGAATAGCTGAGGGGAGGGCTGGGCTGGGGGACGCCGAGCTCCAGTGCCCAATGCTCAGCAGGCTTGCAGGGGCTCCAGGCCAGGCTATGCTGCAGGGCGGGTGCTAGGCAGTAGGGCTATGCAAAGCTTCAGTTGCTGTTTCGATTCAGAGGAGATTCAGCCCAGTTCAGCAGCCAAATCTCCGAATCCGAATTGAATCAAGAGACCCATTAATCTCTCCAAATAGAATCAGAAGCCTCCGATACAGTTCATAGAGATTTGACGATTCAGACACAGACGCAGCCTTATATGTTTTTTCTATGTACTTCAAGGTACCAGCACGGCTCATGAACGCTGAGATGGTGGGGTGAATGGAGCATCTCATGGGAGCACCGAGGGGTCCCCAGCGTGCTTGGCGGCAGACCTGGAAGTGGGCCAGAAGCACTTTCGGTCCACTTCCGGGTCTGCCACGGAGCACAGAATCAGCTAATCAAATTACTGGCCCCCGAATCAAGCCAAATTCAAATCAAATACAGCCTGCTTTGCACACCCCTACTAGGCAACAGCTCTGCCACAGCCCTCAGAGCCGGGATGTCAAAGCACGGGACTGGAGGCGATTGCCCTGATTCACTGTACGCTAGGAAAGGCTCTGCTTGCACGGCCTTTGTGGCTCTACCAGCCAGCTGTCCGGGGCTGCCACGTCCAGCTTGGGTTTTGGTAGTGGCTGCAGCAGCAGGACATGAGGCTGTTAGCAGCAGGTGGCCATTCCAGACGTTGCTGCACATGGGTGCCTGCGCCCTGGCCCTGGTCCTCCCACCCTGGTCATCCTATCTATGCTGCCCCTTGTTTAGGGTATACTTTTCCTGTCTTCTCTCCTTTCCTAAAAACCCCCTTTTAGGGTTAAAGCAGAAGTTAGGTTTACACTGGATCTGATGATCCTGGGTTTTGACAAGAATCAAAACAGGCATGGGGCTTACACACAGCTTGAATGGCAATTAACTCAAATTTGCCCCGATTGACCTGGGAAAAAGTGTCATTTCAGATACTTCACAGATGCTTAGAATGGGACAGTGGCCTTGTACTTTTGTGGCATCCCAAAATAAAAGGGACTGTCTGACTTTAGACAGTCTCTCTAGAAACCCTATTTTGCATGTCCACAAATTTCTGTTGAGCTACTACCTTGTAGTTTTTTCTTGTTCTATTTGGAATGCAAACACTTTGGAATAAGGGATCCTGATCTGTGTTTATAGAGTACCGTATACACTTGTATAGTGTTGTAGTGTTTATGGTTTTAATTAGAAAACTTTATCTGTAACTAAGCTGTTCTGTTGTCTTGCAGACCTCAAAATCTTATAGCACAAAGCCAGTCAGGGACCGGGAAAACTGCAGCTTTTGTCCTGGCCATGCTAAGCAGAGTTAATGCAGCTGTGAAATATCCACAGGTAACTTGGGCAGAAAAAGACTAATTTGGGAGGGATTGTTTACACATATACTAGAGAGAGAGAATATGTGGCATCTTAGAAAGTGGATCAGTCTGAATATTTTACTGCTGTTACCATAATATCTATGGCTACTATAATGGCATGGTTTTAAATAACTCATGTTTGCTTTGTTTGTACTATCAGTTTTTGAATGGTATGGTGTCGCCCAAATCCAAGATAACCCTGAATTTTAAGATGACCCCCAATAATTAGATTCTAGACATGGAAAACTAATACATGTGTTATAATTTTCCATGTCTAGAATCATCAGGGGGTCATCTTAAATCAGGGGTGGGTAATTATTTCAGCTGGAGGGCTACTTAATGAGTTCTGAGCTGTTGAGGGCTGCACAAATAAAATCTTTCACCAGGTACCACTTTAACAAACTATAGATAAAAAACATTGTACAGTAAAAGCTCTGTTATCCAGCATCCCCCGGGAATGAGGGATGCCAGATAACAAAATATGCTGGTTAAATGAGCAGCCCGAACAGGCGCACTTGCCTATTCGGGCCACCGCTTCTCCCTCTGCATCTGGGGCATCTCTGCTCCTCCCGCAGCATCTCTGGCCCTTCCACAGGCCCTGCGGGACAGGGAGGCAGGCCCTATGCAGCCTGTTATGCCCCCAGGCCCTGGGGGCTCAGCAGCACAAGCTGCTTTGACTCGGGCCGTGGGGGCTCGGAGAAACCAGAAGTGCCATGGTGGGCACTTCCGGTTTCACTTTACCTTACAAGCTGGCATGCCTGTTAATAGAGTATGCTGGCTTGTAAGGTGAAGGTTAATGGAACTTTTACTGTATACTAAAATCAAGCATCTACTATAACATATTTTAATTTTATTTCAAGAAATATTTTTTGTCCTGACTTATGGTTTTTTGTAGTGCATATAAAAGTGATTGCATAATAACTCAAATTAAAGTCTTACTTTTGTATATGGTGTGGGGATGGGTATGCAGAGAGGGGTGGGTGCGGGGTGAGTATGTGCATACGTGCGGGGGGTGCTGGTGCACTAGGTTCTGGGATCCAGCTTGGGGTCGGGGGAAGGAGGGAAGAGAGGACAGGGGTACATGCAGCAGAGCTCACCCCGGGTGTCGTGCAGGTGTCATTTGCCACACTGCATTGAACTGAGCCATGAGACTGAGCCATGCCCGCTCCTGCTCCAGGCAGCCTGAGCCATGCTCCCACCCACACCAACCAGACAGCATTGCCCTGGCTCCAGCCACCATCCAGGTACTACTCAGCTCCCTCCACCTTCAGTGGCTCCTCCTGCCCCTGCTGGTCTGGGCAGCAGGTTATATGGGGAAGCTGTGGGGACATGTGCCAGGCAGCAGATGTGGGGAAAGCTGCAGCCCGGCAACTCCTGCCCCAGCATGTGGGGCTCCAGCTCCAGGAGGCACTTGGTGAAAGGCAGCTAGGAGCTGGAGCCCCACATGCCAGAGCTGGAACTGGAGTAGGAGCTACCCAGATGCAGCTCCGCAACCCGCACCTCTCTCTCTGCAACCCCCAACCTGCTGCCTGGGCAGGGGCAGGAGGAGGAGGAGCCATTGGAGGCAGGGGAGCCAAGCAGTACCCAAGTGGTTGCAGCAGCAGCCCCACTGGGAAGCTATGTGCACTGGCTGGGGCCAGGGCAGTGTTCTTTGGCAGGCACAGGGTGAGAGCAGGCAGGGTTCAACCTCATGTAGAGCACCATGGGACAGCCTTGGGCCAGATGCAATCAGTTGGTGGGCACCTAATTAGTTGGCACAGGGATGCTGATACACAAGACACTCTGGGCGCTTTAATTAGAGCGGCTCTTAAATACCCTCAGTTCCTAATTTGTGAGTCTTTTATGCAATAATGGGACAAATATTTCTTAAAAGTAGGGAAATAATTGTAAAAAAAATAAGGTAGAGGGAGACTTGGGGTTGCTGCAATGCTTGAAACTTCTTTTAACCCCATTTTTTTTAAAACAAACTGTGTTGCTGGTTCTATATCCCTTGGCTTTTCTTGAGTTTTATGATGTTGTTACATTTGAAGTATTCAGGCACTTGCAGTATAAATCTTATTCCTTTATCTTGAAAACGTAGTCCGTTTAGAATTTCGGGTATAGATGCTTTTTGTAATGAAATGTGATCACAGCGTAAATCATTCATATTATAAAGCAAAAACCATTGCACAGCATCAGATAGACTTTTAAAAGCTCCAACCAAAGACAATGCTTAAAAAATATTTTACCTATGTACCTACTGTGGATTTAGGCCAGATTTTAAGTCTGGGGAAATGTGGAGATGAGCTTGAAGAATAACTATATGCAATGTTAATTTTCACTTAATTGCTCTTATAGTTCAAGCGTCCTTATTGGATTTCAGGATAAGCTAACCTGTTTTGGAAGTGAAATGTTACAGTGTGTAAAGTGCTTCTACTTTTCCCTATTCTCACCCATGCTAGCTGAATCTAAGTTTTATCCAAATTCCAGAAGCAGGTTGCATTACACCACCATAAATACTGGCAATGAATTCATAAGCAAAAAGATGTATTCAGTTTCACATTCACTTTAAACTTATTGCCGTTTTTATTTTGCTAATAAAGTCCAAAAACAGTTAACCACATCATTCAGGTATATGATAACCAGCTGGCTAGCATGTACATGACCATTAAATACTTTGCTTAAACTTAGAACTGATACACAATTTATTTAGCATCAGGTTCTCCATCTTCTGCTTTTTCATTTGTTTGATTATTGCAAATACATGAGATGCTGCCATCTGGTATACCATCTGGTATAAAACAACCTTTTTCTGGCAGAGTACAGCTTTACATAGTCTTTTGTCACATGACTGCTTTCTTGAACTCATTCTTTAAGGTTTCCCTTTTGACCAGAAAAATGTACATGATGTCTTCTGTCTTGTCCACCTCTTGCTCCTTAACCATTTGTTCATTGTCTCTCTGCAAGTGTCTTTGCTTAGCTCCAACCTTTGAGTTGGCTCTGCAGACTGGACGAGTGGTTGAACAGATGGGAAAATTCTGTGCTGATGTCAGAGTTTCATATGCTGTCCGAGGAAACAAAGGTACGTTATGTTCACTCTCATCAGAAGATGCAGGAAAGATTTAATAGTGGTATATATATTATTGCATTTATATTCCAGTAACACTCAGAGGCCCCAGTGAGAACTGGAATCCATTACTACCACAAGCATTAACCTGTGTGTAAGAGACCCATGCAGAGTTGCGTGAAGTACACAGTCTAATTAGAACTTTTATTTATGGACACATGTTTAATTTTTTGTACTGTTATAAAGTACGTCAGTCTTGTCACCATATGTCAGTTGCTTTTTTTTTTTTTTTTACATCTGTGCCTTTGTTCTTAAAGGGGTTTCAGGCTGTCATAATTCAGAACTAAATTCTTAATTTCTGCCTCCAGATTTTCCTGGACAGCCTCATACTGTCTTTTTCACAATGTATGCTGTCATGTCTAGAGACCTGATTACAGCACTTCTGTTCAACTATACCCTGCCTATAATCATGCTTTTGTTAAGTAGATTCAATGTGAACTAGTTAGCAGATGATCACCCTGGATTGTGTAAAGCTTTTTTTTTTTGCTTAGGGAACACAGTTTAAGCTGCGATTTGGTTCTCTGAAATGGTTGTTTTCTCTTTTTAGGTAACAGCCTCTTGTGAGTATATTTAAGTATTTTAAATGACCAAAAAAATGTCTCCAGATATATTGGTTTTTATTTTGTATTTTGGTGCTTGGTATTCCCTAGAATTAAATTCAATAAGCATCATATTTTGTCAAAATCTTTTTTTCCCCTCCTCTAAGAGATCCCGGGAATAGGTGCAGAGCTTCTGGGTTCTGGGGCCCTGCATCTCTAGCTGCTGACATCCAAAACTCCTCACATGGATACTTGTGCAAGTGTCTCTCTCTTGGGGCATGGGGGTGGGGGTGGTGGGGGGAACTACTGCAGGCCTGGCTGCTAAGCTGCTGTGTTACCAATCAGTCATGATTCACTCAGGGACCAGCTCAATACACAGTAGCTAGCTACTTGATAACGAGTTAATGATCAAGGATTAACACCTACAAAACCCACAGACTAAAGAGAGGAAAGAATCAATACAGAGCCAGGAACTGCTTCTGCTCCAAGATGGAGACTGTCAGTTGCACAAGCACAGTCAGTTGCAGGGCCCCAGAACCTGCACCTAGCTCCTTGACAGCTGGCAAGCTTTGTGGCCTCAGCAGGGGCTAGCAGACCTGCAGCTTTCACCCTTCTGCGGCTTAACACACACAGGGTCACCCATGTCACGAGTTTTGCTTGTCCGCAGCTTGAGGTACAGGTTACCCGAAACCGCTGCACCTATCTCCTTGAAACTTGGCAGGCTTTGTGGCCTGAGCAAGAGCTACCATCCCGGCAGTTTTCACCCATCTGTGACTTAACACACACACGTGACATGAGTTTTGCTTTCAGGACTTTGAGGTGCAGTTTCCCAGAAACCCCTGCACATGTCACCTTGAAACGTAGCACATGTTATGCTCTCCCCAGAGGCTATCATCCCTGCAAGCTGCATCTGAATCAGCCAAAGGGCAACAAAGTTATAGATATTTCATTGATTCCCCATTATACTCTTTGGTCGAATCTCTGAATCTTCTGAAGCGATTTGGCCGAATTGGATCGGAAAAACTATTTGGATCTCCAAATAGATTCTCTGGCATCCGAATCGGCCTAATCCGAATCAAATAGTTCCCTATTCGCAGAGACTTAGTGCCCACAGCACAGATCTGAAATTCTGAGTTAAGCAGCAGTGTAGTCTAGTAGTCAGAGCATTGCAGTGAAATGTGGGAAGCCTGGGTTCTGTCCTTAGCTTTTATGCTGGCTGATGAGAGGAAATCTTTGCTTTTTCCTTTTCTATTCCTTGGCATTCCTATCTATAAAGTAGTGATAGTACTAGCCTTTGCTGTAGGTGGTTTCAGACTCATGTATGAAAAGCGCTAAGAGCTAGATGATGTTCCTATTTGAAGAACAATCTCTTAAGAGCTCGGAAGCAGTTGAATTGGAGCAGTTAAGTTGTGTTTGAGTGGAACCACCAGGAGCATCACTGCTGTGGTCAATTCTGCCTTAAGCAGGGGATTGCATTAGATGTCCTCCTGAGGTCCCTTTCAGCCCTACTTTTTTATTATTCCAATAGGTGTAGGCATATTCCGTGTGTAAGATCTTAATGCTAACAAGGCTGTTTGTATATGCAATGTTTAAAACGGTGGTGTGAGATAGAGGTGCACCAGTAGATCGGTCCGATATCAGATCAGCACCAATATAAAGAAAACTAGCAAATTGCCCAACAAGAATGATGTAGGTGGGCAGGGATGGAGCCCTGCATCTGGCCCCGCTTCACCCCTCCCAGAGGCAGATTAATGTGTACTGGGACCCTGGGCAAACACAAAATTGGAGACCCTCTCCCACTAGGGAGCTGGGCTACAGGGGGGTGAGGGAGGGGCCCCTTCCCCTCCTGGTGCTGGCGAGGGAGGCTGGGTGGACTCTACTGGGCTGGGGGTGGGGGAGTACATGCCCACCCCTACTCCCTGCTATCTACCCTGACCACACACACAGGCCCATGGACACACACACACACACAAGCGTGCATACAGACTCTACTCACTCACTGCACATAGACACATAGAGACAAGCACACTCCCTTCTGACACAAACACAGACACGCACTCAGACACACATACAGACGGGTGCGCACTCTGCACATGGACACGCAAACACACTTTCCCTACTATAAACATGCACACATGCACTCACAAACACACGCAAGCAAACATGCAGATGGGCGTGCACTGTACTCATTCTCTGCACATGGATGCACACAAATACACTCTACCTGCTATGAGCACGGACACATGTGGGCACGCACAGATGCACACAGACACATGGATACGTGCACAGACACGTGCATGTACAGATGCACGAAGACAGGCACGCGCTCTACTCATTCTCTGCCCGTGGACCCACAGAGACTACACTCTACCTGCCATGAGCACAGATGCGCACAGATCCGTCCATGTGCACACAGACGTGCACAGATGCATGTACACACCCAGACACCCAGGCACTTACCTTTCTCTTACAGATCCTTCCCCCTTCCCCACTCTCCATCACTCTGAAGCAGCTTCCCCTCCCATAAGTCTGCAGTGGTGGAAGGGGGGGCGGGGGGGAGGAAGATTGAGGCCCCTGTGGTGAGGGAGGGAGTAGGGCTGGGACAGGAACTGCACAGCCGGGACAGAGGAGGTCATCGGACGGAGCTGTGGCTCGTCCAGGGGGTATGGGGAAGGGAGCAGCTCCTGATGCTGTATGCACCCCAGGAGGGCATGGGGAGGCATGTGCCCCTGGATCTTCATGGGAAGAAGTGGTCTGCTGCTGTGGGCTGAGGCCAGGCCAGTTTTGGGTTCTTCCTGGTGGGGGATGGGCCAGGCTGCACATGGGGTGGGCGGGCAGCAGTGCTGGGAGGAGGGGTAGGGGGAGGCTACAGCAAATTTTGGGGTGGGTGCTGCCCCTCCCCCCCAGCTTCCCTCCCAGTGCCACTGTCCACCCCAAGCGTAGCCGGGCCAGGAAGAGCCCTGGCCCAAGATTGCCCTTGCCCCACACAGATTTGGGGGCACATGCCACCCAAGGTGCATGCAGCAGAGAGAGCCCCCCACCCTTTCTTATGCTGCCCAGATGAGCCATGGCTCTGTCCCACATCTTGCCCTGCTCCGGCTAGGCAGCGCCTGCCCCAGCCCCACCCCCACCTCTACTCCCTCCCTCACTGCAGGGACCTCTAGCTGTGGCCCCCCCTGGTTCCACCATAACAGACTTACCAGCTGGATGCTGTTCTTTAAGCTCCCAGGCTGCATATCAGAAATTGGACCAGTATCACCTGATATGCCTCCTTAAAAATCGGCTATTGGTATCGGCCCCAAAAATCTGTTGATGCACCCCTAGTGTGAGGTTAGAAATTGTAAGTAACTTGGGGGAAAGGCATGCCCCAGTCTCCAGCGGAAAAAACACTTGTTTCTCTTTGTAACTGTGCTTCTTCGAAACAGATTCCTTAAGAACCTTAGTTCTGACAATCAAACGTCAGTAACACGGATTTAAAACTTTGTTCTAGAACCATTGCCAGCAGACTGCTTGAAATTCAGTACTATCTACAGTGTTCTGACTGGAAAATTGGCTGTTAAATCATAGTCATGTTTTACTGTGCACCATTGAGACTTCTCATCTGTTCATTGCTACAAGTGCAATACAAATATTTTGCTTTCCTGAGGTCAAGTCTAATATAATTTTCCCATCTTCCAGTTCCAAGAGGTGCCGTCATCGAAGAACAGATAGTAATAGGAACTCCAGGGACTACCCTAGACTGGTGTTTCAAACTGAGGTTGATGGATCTGAAGAAGATTTCTGTGTTTGTGCTGGATGAAGCAGATGTCATGATTAACACCCAGGGTTTCTCAGACCAGAGTATCCGTGTTCAGAGGTAGATACTCTAGTTAGCTTATTTTGTTTTTTCCCCCTTCCAGTGTATATTCTGAAGGTGGGACAAATAGTAGCTTAGTTTTTTTAATTTTCACTTTTAGCTTGTAAATCTGTTTATATCTGAATCAGTTTGAGCCAAAATCAGAATGGGCCAAATCAAAGTTTTGTAATAAATATGTAAAAAAATTGGTCAAGTTTAATATGACACCTTTTGCCTGGTATCCAGTGTGATTGTTGAAAGATTGTCTTATGTAGAATTAAAAGCCAAGGTATTTTTTCTAGTTTATCATGGCCGAAGCAAGGTATGCTGGTTTGAGAGCCTCCCAGCTTGATCTTGAGACCTGCCACTTCCTTCTGTTGATATCTTGCTTAGGGCAAGATAGTGGATGGTGCTGAGTTCTAAAGCAGCGAAGTAAAGAGCCTGCATTGTGATGAAGAGAAGATGTAGCTTTGGCATTAATCCCCAAAACTCTTAAAACAGAAGAAATGGTCTGTAGCTTGGATGTTTTTGTTGCAAGCTGAGGAAAATCAACTTTTGAGGCCCTCACCCAAACTCTTAAATAATAGAGAGTGTAAGGGTCTGCTTAGCATAAGAGCAGAACTATTATTACCTGACTTTATTGATGCAGATCTTATTTCAGGTAATTTATTGCATAGAAGCTGATCTTATTTCAGATAATGGATTGCATAGAAGCACAACTTTGTTAAGAGTTTGCCACTGTGAAGTGGGAGAAATTTTAAACATTAAGAAAAAGTATTGGCAAAGGAAAGATTAATGTAATGTCACTGCTGCACAATTTACTATTTTCTTTCTTCTAGAGCTTTATCACAGGATTGTCAGATGCTCCTCTTCTCAGCAACCTTTGAGGATGCAGTGTGGCGATTTGCTGAACGCATTGTCCCTGATCCTAATGTAATAAAACTCCGCAGAGAGGAGCTGACGTTAAATAATATCAGGCAGTATTATTTTCTGTGTGAGAATAATAGCGAGAAATACAAAGCTCTCTGTAATGTCTACGGCAGCATCACTGTGGGCCAAGCTATAGTCTTCTGCCAGGTAAAGTTCTTTTGATGCCATGCTAACTGGCTTCTTACTGGGAGAGTTACTGGTTTTGTAGATCAGATTTAAAATGACCTGTGCTGTAGTACCAATTGCAACAGAGTAAGGAAGTTTGATAGGGGTTTGAGCAGTGGTACTTGGAATGTCATTTGAGGATTCCTGCTCACACCATATTGTCTTAACCCTTTCCTCCAGACTCTCTTATATCTTTGCCTTCCTTGACTTCTTTCTTTGTGGTGCATTCTGAACCATTTTTATTGCTCTCTGCTGGACTTTCTCCAACTTGTCCACATCCTTTCTATAGCGGAGGGGCCAAAACGGGATACAGTACTCCATATGTGGCCTCACCAGTGCTGAATAGCAGGGAATAATCATTTCCCTTGTTCTGCTGGCATTACAAAAATTGCATTGGTAGGAACAGACATTCCTACCAATGCAACCCAGTATGCGATTAGCTTTCGTGTCAACCAGGACACACTGCTGACTCATATCTCTCTTATTGTCAACTGTAACCCCCCAGGTCTTGTTCTGCAGAGCTGCTGCTTAGCCAGTCAGTCCCCAGGCTGTAGCAGCACATGGGATTCTCATGGGTTGAACCTCATGAGATTTCTTTTTTTGCCCAATCCTCCAGTGTGGCTGGGTCACTCTGAATCCTAGCCCTACCGTGCAGTCTATCTACTATACCCCTCAGCTTGGTGTCATCCACAGACTTGGTGAGGGTGCAGTCCATCCCATCTTCCAGATAGTTAATGAAGATATTGAACAAAATCAGCCCCAGGGCCAACCCTTGAGGTACTCCACTTGATTTTGGCTGCCAGCTACACATTGAGCCATTGATTACTACCTGTTGACCTTGACAATCCAGCCAGCTTTCTATCCACCTGACAGTCCATTCATTCACCTTATACTTCCTCAGCTTGCTTGTAAGAATGTTGTGGGAGACAGTATCAAAAGCCCTGCTAAAGTCAAGGTATATTACATCTTCAGCTTTCCCTGCATCCACAGAGCCAGTCATCTCATCATAGAAGGCAATCACATGTGTCAGGCATGGGCATGAGTTGCCCTTGGTGAATCCATTCTGACTGTTTCTAATCACCTTCTTCTCCAAGTGCTTAGAAATGGTTTCTTTGAGGGCCTACTCTGTGTTTTTTCCAGGGACTGAGGTGAGGCTAGCTGGTCTGTAGCTCCTTGGTTCCTCCTTCTTTTCTTTCTTAAAGATGGGCACTATATTTGACCTTTTCCAATCATCCAGGACCTTCCCTGATTTGTCACGATTCTGCAATCACATCAGTCAACTCCCTCAGTGTCCTTAGATGCATTGTATCCATCCCCATGGACTTATACACATCCAGCTTTTTTAAATAGCCCCTAACCTGTTCTATCAGCACAGGGCTTTTCACCTTCTCCCCAAACTGTGGTGCTTGGTGCAGTAGCCTGATCTTGCCTGTGAAGACCAAGGTAAAAAAGGCATTGAGCACTTCAGCCTTTTCCTCATCATGTATCACTAGGTTGCCTCCCCCATTCAGTAAGAGACCCACATTTTCCCTGCATCTTCATGTAAATGTTGTCCACGCATCTCATTCCCCCATGCCTGCCCTGTAAAGAGCCAACCAGAGAGATATTCCTCTGAAATGTTTTCCTTTCCCAAAGTGTAAGGATGACTGTTGTAAGCATTTGAAAGGGGCCCAGCTGGAGCCCTTAGCAGAGGTCTAATCGCGCTCATTTTCTGCATTTGTTCTTTTAGACTCGTAGAAATGCGAAATGGCTCTCTCTGCAAATGATTCATGATGGGCACCAAGTAGCCATGCTGAGTGGGGAGCTGACAGTTGAGCAGCGGGCAGCTATAATCCAAAGATTTCGTGATGGAAAAGAGAAGGTCCTTATCACTACGAATGTCTGTGCTAGAGGTACTGCCTTTGATACTTAGAGAAGCAAGTGGATTCACTTAGGAATAAGAGAACTCCCATAGGGCATCCAACCTGTAATGTTTCTGCATTACAAAGTCCTTCCTCTACCAGCCTAGCATGGAAAACCTAGTGTAGGGTGCAGCAGAGGAAATCATTGGTATAGAATCCTGTAAACTCTCATGTATTAAGACCTGCTTGTCAACTTTCTGCTATAGTAATGTCACACGCACAATCATGAATTTGTGGGATTGTTGTGTTTCTAGATATCAAGTCAGTGATGCTGGTATAGCAGGTGTTCATTCCTATGGCTTACAGATATACTGCAATGACTTTTTTTATTTCCAAGCAGATCAAACTTGGGAATTTTCTATGAGATGCAGTGTGTGACTTGGTAGGAGGCTGTTGCTCATATTAACTCTCAAGCCTTTCATCTATCCTGTTAAACTTTAGGGCTGTTCTTCACAACTGGTGATAACAGTGGTAGAAGCTATTGTGTGGATCAGGCTAAAAATGTTTCTTTTCTTTTAACTCTTGTTTTTAATAGGATTAGACAACAGAGTGCGACCCATTTACACTACAGCTTCCATTACAGTTGAGAAATTGTTAGTGTTGGTCGCCCACCAGATTGGTATGTTTGCAGTTGGCTTTTCTGAAGTCAGCCACAAGAAATACAATACTCCAAGGTGTAGGCAAATGTTCCTCTTGTAAATTCATTCACTGGGGGAAGAGTTTCATCCATAGAAAATAATTGAGAATGTTGTGAAAATGTTGTATATAAAATAAATAAATAAGCACATTATAACTAGGGACCTACTCAATTCGCGACTTCGTGGAACCTGTGAAACCGGGCAATGTCTGCAAAATAAAAAAACTCCTAAAAAATAAAGTGTTTGCTTCCCAGCAGGAGCCAGCAGTCCTCATGGCTGATGCGGCCCAGCCTTGCAGCCTGCTGGAGAGAGGGGGAGGGGAAGGAAGCTGCCAGCACTAAGGGGAGCAGCCAAGATTGCAGCTTCCCCCACCCCTCACTGCTGATTGGCTGAGATGGCTGCCCATTGCATGGCCCTGCCCCCTCCACCAGTCAGTGGTGGGGGGTGGGCCTTGTGATGGACAGTCCTCTCAGCCAAATAGCAGCTAATCAGTGGTGTGGGGCAGCATGGAGGGGAGCGCACTGCAATAAGCCTGTAAAAATGGCAGCCAGCCCCATGGTTGGCCTGTGAAATCAGCTGCCTGCCTCTTTGTTTCACTAGGTACCTCTAAAAATGTTACATGAACTGCCTGGTTTTTAGACTCTGCAATTTCAGTTGTCCTGTCTTGCCATACTGTGTGTAATCCCAAAGTACTCTTCCTTTAAGAATATATGTTAGACTGTTCTTCTTGCTGTATTTTAAATGACCCGTGGCAAAGTATGCCCATGTCAGCTGCCTGTTGTGTCTGAAATAAGGTATGTCTATCAGCTGTCTAAACTCTACTTGCAGACCCTATAGCGGGGCGGACAATTATTTTGGGGAAAGGGCCACTTACAGAGTTTCAGAAAGCCATTGTGGGTCACATGACAGGCAGCCCAGGGCAGATTCATATTAATTTCCTACATTTTTTAGGGGCCCCACGGGCCGGACAGAATGGCCTGGCGGGCCGCATCCGGCCGCCGGGCTGCATTTTGCCCACCCCTGCCCTATGGAGTGAATGGATTGGGGTATTAATTAAGGTTCACCTTCCATAGGTGGCAAGATGACAAGCATATAAAAACAATTGATTATATTAAAGATTCCTGTCTGGATAGATACAAAGACTTTGTCGAGTAAAATGGAATAGTGAGTAGCATAAGGAAGACATGTTCAAATACTGAAGCTACATGAAAAAAGGCAACACTGTCATGTAGGCCTGTGCAAAACACTGTTGTTTTGTTTCTACATCCGTTCTGCCATTTTGAAGGGATGGTGTTTCATTTCGTTGTTTCATTTTGAAGCACTGTCCCATTTCGTTTAGCCTAAACTGTTTCAACTCGTTTTGATGTTTTGCCCATAGCCTATAATAAGGAATCATGAAAATGCCTAAAACATTGTCATTTATTGGCAGATTCAGATGCAAATTGCAGGAATGGTAGTCCTGTCCAAGTGCATGAAGCATGCCAAGTTTTAAGGAGATAGGTGCAGAGGTTTCTCGGAAGCTGCACCTCAAAGTCTTGAAAGCAAAATTTCCTGGCAGCGGCAGCTTCCTGTCATCCGGCACACAGATCTGGGGATTCGCACCCCTGGGAAGGCTGCAGGGCTGTGCTGGATTCCTCCCGGGGGTGCGGACCCCTGGATCTGTGCTGGATGACAGGAGGCTGCCGCTGCTGCCTGGGACCAGTGCTGGGCGCAGCCCGCATCCAGCACTGGGGAAGACAGATGCTGCTGCTGGAACCAGGGGCTGATTGGAGCGCAGCCCGGCAGCGAGAGGCAAGCAGAGCCAGCGCTGCGCTCCACCTCCCACTGCCAGGCTGGGCTCCATGGGGCTGGCGGAGCCAATAGGAGCACAGCCCGGCAGCAGGAGGCAGGGAGAACCAGGGCTGCGCTCCCTGCCAGGCTCAACTGCATGGGGCTGCAGAGCCCTGGCTCTCCCCTGCTTCCCACCACAGGGGCTACTTCAAAACACAAAACATTTCAAAACTTTTGAAACGTTTCGAGTGTCCTCATTTCATTTCAACGCTGTTTTGATGCATTTGTTTCATTACAATTTCACTGTTTCAAACTCGAAACGCATTGAAACAGCTTTGAAATGAAACACCTGGCAAAATTTCACACAGCCTTAATGTCATGGTTTTAACTAAAGGTTATATATTGGGTAGAACACACCTAAATGTGGAGGGTAAAGAAATGGGATGTAGCTTGTCTTTTGTCAGCAACCCATAGTATAGTGAGTTGCATGCGACTTGGAACAGTGTATGAAATAAGGGAGTGAGCTTGTGGCTCTGTGATGAGACCCCAAGTCAGCCAAGGCCATGAGGGTACAAACTCCACGCAAGGTGATGTCCCAGTTAAAGGACAGCTAAACTTAGGCACAAAGAAAAAAACTCAACTTTATGAAGTATAGAAAAACACTACAATGTAACCGGGGCAGATAGAACTTAAAATAAATGTTTACAACTGTCGCCTAATATGTCTCACTCTCACCACGGGCTGGGGGCTGTTTCCAGTGGCAGGCAGCAATTGTCACCATCTCTGCAGTGAACTCTTCCTCATTCTCTGCTTCCCTCAGCAGATGGCCTCCTTTCTACCACTCCAGCCTTTTCAGCTTCAGTCCCCATATGGCAGACACCCTTCTCCACTCTCGGGGTTTCGCACCAGCAGGCTTCCATAGACTCCAGCAGGCTGTAGGCTGGCCACACTCGCACAAGCGCTGTCTGCCTCCTCTGCTCATATCTCCTCCCCACACCAGCTTCTAGAAAAAGCCTGAGCTTCTGGGCAGGGGCCCTGGCAGCACCATCCAGGGATAGAGTGCCATTAACCAACCCCTCTACAATCCAGCCATTAACCTGTTCCTTCCCAGAACAAAGCCCATCCAAAAAACTCTTTCAACATATAACATCCAGACAAATAATACAACCACATAATTGCCACAGGTTCATATTTGAATTGTTATGTAGGTGTAAGGAAACCTGAAGCCCCTAGAAGTTATATATGAGTACCAAATAGTTCCACTAGCAAGTCATTTCTAACTACTTTTTCCCTTTGTTTTAGTTTTTTAAAACTGTAGTATTCTGCTGAAGACATGGCTAGGGTTGGAAGTATATATTACTTAGACTAGAAATCTTTTATTTGGGATTTTCTCTGTGTTTCTCAGTAGAGATAGACTATGAGTACAAGATATTTAAAATTATGTGAATACTTTTTAAATGAAATTCAAGTACTTCCTAGACTTTCTGGTGGTATGCATTTCTTTTTCTCTGCAGACTCTGTAAAGTCTACATTTAATTGCAAAACGTTTGCACTAAAAATAGATTGTATGCCTTAAAACCCTCCTAAGATGTACAGGTTTTTGCCAAATGAATGGGCCAAACTTAAGATCCATGAAGCATGTGAAGTTGGTGATCTCTGAATTGCACGCAGCTTCCAGATGTGTTAATCTGAGTTGTATATGAAACTTATTCACTTCATTAGGTAATTGAGGGGCAGGGGAAGAAACTAGGGTATTGTTGTGTTTTTTCTTTTTGTTTGGATTTCTGTTGTTGTGTTTTTTCTTTCTGTTTGAAACTTGCTTTTACCTTCATAAAAGTGTCTGTGACTAAAGCAGTTTAGGCAGTTTGAAAATGAGCTGTGATCTTAGTCTCATAATTTTAATCTAGCAGTATTTCAGAAATACAATCCAGCTTTAGAGTGGGCTGTCCTGAGATGTGTGCGACTCCAAACAAAGTGCTTTAGACAAGACTGGCTGAAAGAACTGGTAGTTAGGAAAGCTATAAGCTAGTGGTAGCAACAGCAGGAAATTCAAGGTTAAGGTGGAGACTCAGACTGAGTATTCAGAAGGTAGCCCCACTTTGGGGCTTGTGACTTCACTTGACTTCACAGTTTGAAGCAAATCCCAAAGGATTCGCAAATAGCACATTTACTGCGAGTGTTTGTGAGCATATTAATGGGACAGTCCCTTCTAGCTGAATTTCCTAAACCATACGATAGTTATTTTTACCACTTTCTGTGACGACAGAGTTCTTCCCATGATACAGATTGGATATGATTAATTGAAGCTGAATGGGTTGTTCCCCTTTCTGACAGGTTAATGTCTGGGTGGATTGTATTTCAGGTGGGCTTCTTGGCAGTAAGAATGTTCCTCTTCCATCCTGATCTAGGTATTGATGTGATACAAGTCACAATTGTGGTGAATTTCAATCTCCCTACAAACCAGTTGCAGCATCCAGATTTTGAGACCTACCTCCACCGCATTGGGCGGGCAGGTCGTTTTGGGAAGAAGGGCCTGGCTTTCAACATGATTGAAAGATATAACTTGTCTTTGCTACACAGGATTGAAGAGCACTTCCGTGAGTATAATATCCCCATCAACCCTGCATTGTGAGGGCACAGCCGTGCAGGAGTTAGCTATAGCAACAATATTGTTTAATCAGTATTGCAGTAAATCTATACTGTTACTTGCACACCCAAAGCAGTGTTAAAAGCATATTTAAAAGGCTTAAAAATCAGACTTTCAAACATTAGGAAAATCAGCATTAAACTCATCTGTTTCTTCTTAATTTGGCACCCCTGTGCATGTGAATCACTAGTCTCTAAGGAGCCTATACATGTGCTCTGACACATTCTAATTAAAATGCTGTACCATTGCATTACATGTATTAAGCTCCCCCCCCCCAACACACACACATTTCAAAATGGCCATGGGGGTGCTTTAACTGCAGTTTGTAAATTGAGCTTTAATTAAAGCATTGCATGGCTATTTTTAAACACACAGGGACTTAGTACACATGATGCTGCAGCATTTTAATTATTGTGGCTGTCCAGGAACCACTCTAATTAAAGCCCACCCCCCACGTGCACACTCCCAAGCATATATATTGGCAGCCTAACTTTGCCCGGTGACATGCTGCTTTTCTACAGGTTCCCTGCCTCAGTGGTGTGGATGAATTGTGCGTAATGCTTTGTGTTCTTCCTGTTGTGTGTGTGTGTGGCTTCAGGCTTTATTTACTGCCCACTATAGAAACCCTGCTTTAAAGGCAGATTTGTTAATTTTTTATGGGTGTGCTTCTGACACTCATCATCACTGTAACATCTGACTGCTGCAGGCAGAGATGAGAGTCAGAAGCATCTGCTTTTGAGTGCCTTGTTCTAGATGTTTAGGGCCTGAGGTTTCAAAATATGTTCAGAACACAGCTCTTACCAACTTTGCTGCCTCCTGCAAGGGCTCAGCACTTCCACAAGTCAGACTGCAGAGTTTTGTGACTGGTACTCAGTTAGTGACCAGCTGGGTTAAGCAACCTTTACAGTATCCCATAGACACTCTGGAAGAGGCAGGGATAGAATCCAACTGCATTCAACTCTTACCCATAAAACCAGATTTTACCTTATGTCAGGAATCAGCAACCCCCCGGCACATGTGCCAGTTAGTGGCACATGGAGATGTTTTCCCCAGCACACCAGGATATGTGCAAGGAAATTGTTTTAAAAAAAATTTACCTTGCTGTTCCAGGTTCTCTGGAGTGGAGCAGCCACAGGTCCCAGCGCCACAGCAGGCACTGGGGCAGTCAGGAGAGCACAGGCAGAGAGGCTGTCTACATTCTGCTGCCTCTTGACTGCACCCTCCAGCTCAGCCTGGTTTCTGGAGGGGAGCTGCAGGGTAGGGGGGGAGAGCTGGGCAAGCACTGTGCAGGAGGCTCCCAGCGGGTGGGTGAGTCTTGGGCCTCGGGCTCGGGCAGATGGATGCCTTGCCCCACTCAGGTGGGGGCAGTGCTGGTGCTAAGGGGCAGGGTCTGGGCAGTGCAGGGAGAAGCAAATGCAGGGGGAGGCACCATGGACAAGTCAGCTCAGCCAGCCCCTTGGGAAGGTGGGCACTGGGTGGGAAGTGCAGCTGTCCCAGGGCTCTGTGGGCTCAGCCTGCAGTGGGAGGGTGGGCGGGCAGGCAGGGGTGCCCAGTGGCACCTGACGTGGGGTCTGGCCTGTGCAGCTTTGCTGGGTTGGGGCACAGCTGTCCAGCCTGCAAGGGGATGCTGCCTGGCCAGAGCAGGACACCAGGCGTGGGGGGCTCCCAGCTCCAAGCTCATCCTCCCTGTGCACTAGGCACAGTGCCAGTGGGGTGGAGCCACCCCCGGTGCAAGGGCCTGGCTGTGGTAAACCCCCAGGGCCCTGGGAACAGGTGCCATGGCTGCTCTGACCTGCCCAGACCCCAGCCTTGCTCACCCTCAGCTCGCCTCCTGGGGCTGGGACCCAGGTAAGCACTGCACTGGAGGCTACTGGTCGGCTCAGTCCCAGGGAGCTGGAGCAGTGCACGAATGCATGCCTCTGGGTAGAGGGGCTGAAGCTGTGCTGCCTCTGTGCTGCGCTGGCAGTGATTGCATGTGTGCCTCAGAGTGGATGGTAGGGGAGGATCTGGCGTTTCACTGCCTTAGGTCCCTTTGCCACTGCCCACCCAGAGGTGTGCACGCAGCAGCCTCTGAAACAAAGCCCAGTTACGGTCTGGAGCCCACGGGCAGCACAAGAGGATACTGTGGCCACCCCAGAATTTGCCATAGCCACCCCTCCAGTGCCGCCCAGACCACCACCGCCTGCCCTGCACTGAGCCCAGTTCCGGACTAGCCCCCCCACCTGGGAGCACCACACCTTTGCAGGTTCAACTGCACAGAGCAAACGGCATCTGTGCTGGGAGAGGCGGCTACAGTGGGGGGGTTGCAAACTGTGGGGCAGCAGGTTTGTCATTATATAGCATCATACTGGTATTCAGGTGTATGATCTGCAGTATTAGATGTATCACAGGCCTATGACACTTGAACTGATGGTAAGTGACAGCATGAAAAGGTTTTTTTCTCTTCACTCTGGATGGTATTGGAGGGGAAAGGGTCCCTGTGCCATGCATTTCAGTAAAATCTGCTGAGAGCAGAGGGATGCTGAGACTTGAGAATGCTGAACCTGGCTTGGGAGGGAGGGAAGTGAATTCTTTTGCTCTTCCCTTCTGAGCACAACCCTCTTCCAACCTTTCTGTCCTACCCCTGATTCTTCATCTTGGCCTTCTTGAGGTCCAGAGCTGGTGGCTCCGCAATTCTAATCTTAATCCTTTGACTCACATCTCCTTTTCTCCCAGTTGCTCCATCTTGCCCTACTCTTTCCAATTCTTTCATGCTCCCTAGATTCTCATGGCTTTGTTACCCTCAATCTGTTTCCTGTCCCGGGTGGTTTCCATTACCAGCCACCCCAAGACTTTTCATTCAGTTTCAGTGTAACTCCCCACTCCAAACTTCTTGTCAGTCTTCCTAAAACAGTAGGGTCCAGTTACCAACTTTCATCCTGGCCTCTTTCCTCCTTCACCTTTTCCCTCCTTACTAGTTCTGTTTCTGTCCTGCCTAAATTCATCTTCTTGCAGGATCAGCTCTTGCTTCCTCCCCTCCACAATCTTTGAGGATCACAGGGGGTCCTGGTAGGCATTACATTTGTCATGATAAACACTCTCTCTCTCCCTCCCTCTCTCTCTCTCTCTCAAGTGGGACAAAGCACAAATGGCCACATATTCACACTGTTTGTTGTGTTGTAAAAACAGGCAATCTGCCATAAAAACAGCAGCAGCTTTATCTTTCCAAGATAAATTTAACATCTGGTCAGGTAGAGAGAGAACAGGAGAAGGGCTGCCTGCAGTATCCCAGAACTGCAGATGTACGCAAAGTTTTGGCTAGAGCATGTCCCATGAAGGGACTCTTCAAAATTCACCTGAAATCTAAGCTGTCTTTACACTGGCAAATTTGAGTCTGCCCCCTCCCTGAACCCCGAACCTCTCCTCCAGGCTGCAAAAAGCATGCCTTGTAATTAAAGGCTGTCTCTTGCCCCTACATCAGGACCTGGGGACATTGAGATCGTTTCTAACACTTTTATGCACTTTTTACCATGGGCACGGTGAGGGATAGTGTAATTCCTAGTCTTGTTAGCAAAACTGCTAAAACATTTAAACTGAAATATTCCAGAAACTTGTGAGAGACAGAAACCTGACATGGGAAATTTTAACCCAGATGGTTAGCTTTCCCAGTTTTATGCTGGGCAATGTCAGGCCACCTCAGTAAGCAGTACAGTTAACTTTTAATCTTAATACATGAGTTGGTGGACAGGAGTTTTCTCAAATGCTCACTAAAGCTATCTTGTGTCTGTTTTTCATAATAATTTTAGATTGTTTAGGTCTAAATAAACCTGTTTCATGGGACAGGAGCAAGAAAATTGTCCAGTTTACTCTGTGTTGCAAAAAAAGCATTTCCTTTTCAAGTTGTACGTGCACAGCCAGGAGTGGAATTAGTAAAATGAGCCTTAAGCGTGATCTCTAATTCCACTCATCTTTTAATACCTTAATCTTGGATAATCTGATTTTTCTTTTTAACAACTTTTACACTGTAAAGCTGTTAAACTTTGAGATTTAGGGATGTTAATTATTTTGCTAGAATAATACTTAGCGCATATAACCCTCTTTATTTGTTAAGTGTTTTCCAAACACTATCTAGTTATCACAACATCCCTACAAAGTAAGGAGATAAGGCATAACACCTGGGATTCATCTAGAAATCTAACACTGTTCAGTTTTTAATTTGAGAAGTTCCCAGCCTTTGTCTCCCTTGGATAGTAGCCTTATGTTGTCAGCTGCCTTAATCCAGTTTACATTGTGCTTTCTCAAAGTTTATTTGAATATCACTTGAAGTACTTTGACTGGAAATACTATACTGAATACTCGTACAGCTATTTCCATCCACATATATAACACTGTGCAAGAAAATACATGATAATGTTCACCAATTGTAGAACAATTGTAAATGGTAGAAAGTTGTTAAATGGACATCTCAAGGAAGAAAAGACTCTTAAAGTTATTTTAGAATATGTTAGCAGAGATGTCAAACTCGCGTGCTGGTAAATTCTCTACAAACTAAGGTCTCATACTCACATGGTGTTTGTAGTTTGGCCCTTGGTAGCTCTACTTTGATTGTTAATAGCCCCCATTATTGTGATAATGCTTGTATAAATATTATTGACCTGATAAGTTAAAGATTCTTATTATCTCTTTCCAAGAAAGTTTGAAAATCCCCCAACAAAAACAAAATCTCTGTATAAAATTCTTGCTGCAGAAGAGTGACCGCTGGTGGAGTGCAGTTTGGAGACTTATTTGTTGCTGTTTTGATTGGTTTTGTTTTTAAGAAACCAAGATTAAGAAACTGGACCCAGATGACATGGATGAGCTCGAGAAGATTGAATATTAAGTGTGAACTACAGGAACCCATGATAAAAGGGCAGTTTACATGTTAAAAAAAATTCAGTGGTTTAATCTCTACCCACATTACAGTTACCAGCATATTTAATGTGTCTGAGAATATTTAGGAAAATAAAAAAATAATATGACCCAGAACTGGCTCTGCGTTTTTCTTTTAATGATTCTTGTGGGGGTTTTTTAATCACATGGTTCATATTACCAAGATATTGGCATGTTCAACAAAAGCTCAAAAGGGCTTTCTGTCCCTGACCCAGCTCCCCTTTGCTACCCTAGGGTATGTCTCTCCAGAAAAAAGTGACTTGTAGATGGAAACAATTCAGAAAGATCAAACTCTACTAAAAAAACAAAAACAAACCCTGATGTCTCCTACACTGCGGACAGTAATTGACAGTTACATTTAATAAGCTAGCCACTAGATGGCAATGGTTACAGCATTTTACACAGAGATAGGGAAGTATTGGTGTTTGTGATGAGGATTTGAAAAGAAATGACACTGCATTTTAGCTGTTAGATTTTACTTTTGTTCTTCTGTATTGCATCCAAAATGTAAATATTAAATGAGTGGGTATATCAATATGCATGTATGTGCAACTTCCTTCCCACTAGATGGTGGCATGATTTAATAAACTTACCCTGCCCCATTGATCTGAACAGCCTGGGCTCTGCTTCTGACTTTAAGAACTAAGTTTTCTTTCATTTAAAACATGCTCTTTTGATTTTTCTGGATTATTTTTACCCACTCCAGGTTCGCATTTCAGGCAGAGTCAAGAAATTTGTGGTCTGTTGTGTCTCAGAACTTGGTCAGGAGCTTTGGTTAACTTCTCGGGGAGGGGGGTTATGTCTTGAGATGATTGGCTTAAATATGTCTTGTATTTTGTTTTCTATTTGTTACCAAGTATATATCCAGTACCTTTCCTGTTGTGCTTTGGACAGTGGGAAAGCGGTATAATAAAGCAGTTAGGGGGGGTTTCTTCCTGTTATTGGAGAAATTTAAAGTTATCAACTAGTAAGTGAAAAAGTTGCTTATGAAAAAGCAGCTTTTGCATATACTGCCCAATACTCTGTTTATTATCTTGCATGTATTTATCACAACCTTGCACTTTCCTTTCCTCATGTCCTTGTGATAAGGTATTTAGCAGAATTCTCAGATTCATTGTGTGCTTCATGTGTGCTGCATCATGTGTGCTTCTGCTCTGGCCTTGAGCTTGCAATCTCTGGGCTATCAATTGTGTACCTTGGCACCGACACCAGTTTAATGCAAGGAAGTTACTAGGCACTAGCCTTGGATCCTGGAGACCTGATTTCTATTCCCTGTTCAGCTGTAGTCATCCTTGGAGAAGCTGATTAATATTTTCATGCCTTGGTTAACTACCTTTAAATTAGGGAAGCATTGCTGCTGTCTCTTTGTAGTGGTGTGATATGATTGTCATGTGCATGATAGTAATGGGTATTATATAGGTACCTAAGTGGTAATAGAATTGAGGGACATGATAGAAGTGGTTGCAGCTGTCAAGAACACTGAATCCTCATAGTATCAAATTTTCCTGTATTTCTAACACGCCCCTTGTGATGGTAACAGACCCATATTGTGTACAAAGAAAATGCCAGTTCTTCTCTGATGTGACTGTTGAACTCTGATATTTCTGTGCAATGTTACCTGCTTGTGTTCTCCTCTGCTACATCATTGAGGGAAGCTTTTGCCAAAAAAAAGATCATGCGTAAACCTAGAAGAGGTCGGGTTTATCTCAACAAAGAGTTCCACAACTACAGACTCTACTAATGGCCTACTTATGACTCCAGAATTTTACTGTACTTGTTAATAACAGCAGTCCTGTGCACAGCTGGCATAGAAAAAGACCACTTCTAATCAATTGGAACCTGGTGTATTTTTTGAGCTTGGACAGGGAATGCAACATTTTGGCCCCATGGTCTTCTGTTTATTTGCCTGAGCGATGCAGTGTAACACCAACTAAGAGCTGCTTCAAGAACTGGCTTCCATCTCCAGATAAATTGTATTTGCCATACTCTATTTGAGGATAACAAACTCAAGATGGGGGCAGCTCTGTCCAAGAGATAATAGTTCAGTCCATAGGCCAAAACACAATAGAAGGGGTAGGCTTCCATTTCTCTATCTAACATTATTGATGACAGGAGGAGGTAGACCACACTCGATGAGGGGGCAGGTGCTCACTAGGAAAGTGAAATCGTCCCAGACAGCCCCTCCTCATCACCTGAATTTTTTTCAGGTTCTGGGACTTGATTTAATATGCTGAAGAGATGAGCAGCCAAGCATTGCCACTATTGCTGGCACTGGAATACCCGTGTCTCTTTTCCAGGCCTGCCTAGGAGCCACGATTAAAAATTGCAGACTTTCACACAGGAGGGTTGTTGAGTGAGCAAGCAGCTACCCAGTGAATGTTTAGGATCTGTTCAAGAAGACTTGACAAGATTAGCTGTGTGCAGATTTAGATCTATGTAGGAAAGAGTACTTGGTGGTGAAAGCAGTGAGGACCTAGAAACCTAAGCATGGATATTTTTCTCCTTCAAGGCCATTCCTGTGCTGCACGAATTTTGATTGTAGCTGTGAGAGGTCTAGCGTGTTAGCAGCAGCCAAGTGCTGATTTTTTTCCACCAATACCTCCTCTGTGGTGATGCACAGAAATGGTGTTTGGATGAAAACAGAAAAGTGCTGCTGTATTGAATATAGATAGGATATCTGGTTGACAGCTTGGTTGTCCAAAGGAATCTGTGATATGTGGGTGTACTTGATATCAATGAAGTTTCATTTCAACTTGTCCAAAACTAGGCTTTGCATGGGAAATGGCATCAGTGAGGGTAACTGAACATTGATAACAAGTATGCTGGGCAGGTTCTAGGGAATAGTTTGCAAATAGACTTCTCTAGGATTCTGAATGCTCCTTTGAAAAGCTTACAGCCAAATCTTAGGGAGGGAACATTAAATAGATTATCTCAGCATTTTTTGGGTGCATCTGATGATCAGTGAGGTATCTGTCTGCTGAATTGCTTAGCAGTGTTGATAATTTTCAGAAATCCACTGGTGTTTAGAAGCTGAAGTTCTTTCTGAACAGGATGTTTCATGCTTGCTGCTGATAAAGAGGAGGGGAAACCTTGGGGTTTCCAGTCACCTACATAAAGGTATGCCCTTTCTGTGCTTCCTAGAGGAGATTGCATGCAAAACTTGGCTTCAGCCCATTTGACATGTTACATCCCTGCACTATCTCCAAGCCAAAATAATCTATAATAAAGTGGAATTATAAATAATTACCAGGGAGTTGCACTGCTGCAACCTGAGTGCCAAATCATTTCTTGAAATTTATAATTTATTTTACTTTCAGGCTGAAGTATTTTTATTAGGTCAGAGTGTTGACAATTTTGTCATTTGCTGGATCTGCCAACACCCCCTACTTTGGCTTTTCTTGTTTTTTTCTAAACCTGACCTGTACAGGCAGAAAACTAGACTGAAGGTGTCTGGCACTGTATCAACAGTGAGTGAAGCTGGAGAGATTTATGTGCGTGTTCACAAAGCCCAGGGAAGCGCTGCACCAACTGAGCTCACTAAAACAACTGCGTAAATGATCTCACTGCTGTCAAAATGAAATTGGCTCTACCCCACTGTGCTCAGCTCCCCAAAGAGCAGGCTGCAATTTTCATGTCTCCATCATTTAGATTGAAAAGTTTGACCTATTTTAAGTCTCTCTGGGCTGAGACATTAAAGTGGGGGGTGTGGGGGAGAAGCTAATAACTAAGTCTGCCCTGTGTGAAATGGACGCTTGTGTTTGCTGCCCAGGCTTGACATAAAATGATAGCTTAATGTCAAGATTATGCTGTAGGTGTGTCATGTAACATGGGACCCAAGAGGGCTAATTGCTCAAACTCATTACTTAGTGGAGCAAGAACTATTTTCAAGGTAACAGCTGTTTGGAGACACTGGTGTGAAAAATGGGAGAGGGTGGAGGGAAGGAAAAAAATGCTGTCCTTGTCTGTTACTCATCCATTTCAACAGAAAAAGGCTGTAAATGGTTCCTGTTGTGTCTCACCTTTTTAATGGATCATTCTTGAGGCCAATACAGTAAGTGTTAAGCTACATTGTACGTCTGCTCCTTGCTGTAGTATCAGAAGAGTGCCTTTGAACCATTGAAACAGAGCAATAATTACCTATCATCCTTTGCAGCCTGAAGGAGGAATGGCTTGATTACTTTAGAGCAGTGATTTTCAATCTTCATTTGCACACCCCTAAAAATTTTTGGATGGTGGTGTGGGCCCCTTTGATTTGTGAATGTGGGTATTCACATACTTTTGATTGGTCATAGTCGCCTTTTGCGGATGCCTTAGACACTGTCTGCAGACCCCCAGGGGTCCATGGACCACAGGTTGAAAACCACTGGTTTAGAGCCTGGTTGCTTGCTGCTCAGACTAGCACAAGGTGCAGTAACCTGTGTGCTCCAGGCTCTGTGCTCTCTGTACTTGCCTCCCTACTGAATTCAGACTCTAGCTCGAGGTCTCTGTCTTGATGGTTAAAGCTCTCAGGAAACCTGGCCCTAGCTACTGAGAAACCCAACCTCCTTCTGTGACTCCAAGCCCAAAGGGAGGTAATCCCAACATGAATCAAAGGGGGCAGGAGGGCGCAAAAGCCCCCATGACTCACCAAAAGCATCCGGCAATGTCTCCTAGCTAAAAGGGAGGCGCACACCCAATGGAAGGGAGGGGCCATCACCAGGGAGGATTATACTGCGTTTGCTTGGGGTTGCAGGGGGGCAGTGAGGGAGGCCAAACTGGAGATGGAACTGGGGCTAGCTACATGGATCAAGGACAACAAGAAGTACTTTTTTAAATACATAGGGGGCAAAAAGAAGGTACCGGGTAACATGGAGCCCCTGCAAGACATGCTAGGAAATCTGGTCATCATACCAGATGACAAAGCTAACCTATTTAACGACTTCTTTGCCTCCATTTTCCTGAGCAGGGGCCAGATCAGCCCCCCCACTGGACCCCATTCAGGCCCCAGGGGAGGTGCACCTAGGCCAAGGGTCAGTGAGGATCTAGTCAGGGAACTTCTGGAGGGACTGGATGTATTTAAATCAGCTGGTCCTGATGATCTCCATCCCATGGTG